CGATCAGTCACTCTTCTGCTCAATTTAAAGTCATGCCCCAACTGGCAAATGGTGATTATTCTCACACCACAGACAATCGAACAAACAAACGAACGAACACATCTGTGTAATTAAACAATGAGATCAATAAATTTTCACAGTAAAATATTTTTGTATGAAAAGTGAACAGTGGGTGGGAGTAACGATCGTAACGATCGTAACGATCAAAGTCCCCATTTGATCGATAATTTGAAAAATCTTGCTACAAAATGAATGATCAGTGATGTTCACGATCAGAGATAAAGATCAATATGACCTAGATCGCTAAATGGTTTCTGAACAGAGTTCCACGATTGCGATCACTGCTACGCTAAGATGACTACTTGTCTTGATCAGCAAAGTTATCAGTTTTAAGAGATTAGAAAGCTCGACTTCTAAGCGAATATAAGTTAATTTCTAAGAATAGGGACTTCCCCTTCATACCACATCATTATGTTACAAACCCAATAACAAATCAGGTATAGCTTCCACTATTAAAAGTAGAGTCAAATAAACTATGCAAATTATTTATTGGGCAACAAAAGAAAAAAAAACAAAATATTAAAATAAAATTATAAAAACAAAAATGTAAAATTGATCAGCAAAAAATAAAAAAACAAAACAAAATAATTATAATGTAATCATAACAAAAGTAACAATTAAATAAAATAGAAAACAAAACACAAAAAGCAAAATCAACCAGCATTCAAAACCCCAGAGGGTTGATCAGATAAAGACCAATTAAAATAACAAAAAAATAATAATAAAAAATGCAAAATACAAATACCAACTTATTGAAACCCACTGTGCCATGATTAAATAATTAATACAACATTGTTTTATATATACAGCTTGATGTTAAACTTTTTAAAAACTTAATTTTAGTTCATCATCAGACTTGCAAACGTGTATTTAAGACAGCCGAAAAAAAAAAAATATTATAAAAAGAAATTTCTTTCACGTGATTTATTTTGCATATATATTCCAAAATCCTTTGTTCTTTTATTATAAAATGGCATCTTTAGTAAATATTTTTAAACATAATAATCATCATGGGTGTGTCGGTGATAAAAATTATACGAATTATTCTTATGATACGAATGCAAATCAAAGAAATTTTACAAATAATGAAAGTGTTAAGAGTGTGAGCAATAATAATTCTAGTTCGGAAAGTGTGAATAATATTTTGGACAAGGCAGGTACTTAAATGCTTGGGAAATGTTTAGTATTATTAAAAAATAATCGGATTTTTTTTAAGAAAATGTATGATCAGATTTAATACCATGTATAATTTCTATTGCAAAAAAATTTAAAACATTTTTGTGTAGCAATGAGGGTGTTGTCGGATTAAATTCTCGGCTTTAGGTTTTGTTGGATCTTTATTGTAAAAATAAGTGATAAAAGAAATGAAACAAAAAGAATTTTTCAGAACAGGATTTTTAGGGAGAAGATGTATATACTCCTTTTAATCATTGTGAAATTATAAGGGATATCGCTACCAATCTAATCTATATGGGGTTTGAATTCGTACTAGTAGACTCACTTGACCCATTGCCCTATTACAGTGGTTTTATACCCTACACCACTTTAGTGGGGAGGGTATATTGGATTTGTGCTGATGTTTGTAAAATGCAAAAATATCCCTTAAAGTATACCAATCGGTTTAAAATCATTTCCTGACTCGATTAAGCTATGTTTGTCCGTATGGCTGGCTGTCCATGTAAATCTTGTGTGCAAGGTACAGTTCGCAACTTTCAAGATAATTGGATGAAATTTGGCCCAAGGATGAAACCTATTGAAAATTGTCAAAATCGGTCTATTATTTCTCCTAGCCCCCATACAACAGAACCATAGGAAATGGGTTTCTGAGCTCATAATTATGTTAAATATACCTGTATATCGACAAAAAGCGGCACAACTATGTTTTATATCTTGCCAAATTTTATAAAGATCGGGCCTAGCAAAGTCATACAAAGTCCCCTTCAGAAAATTACTTGAATGTCCAAAAAGAACTTATAAACACAAATATCGCTATGAAATTATATAAATATAAATATATTCACAAAATTGTATCGGGCTTTGTCCATATTTGCCCCTAGCCTCTTTCAGAAAATTAGTTTTTCATCCATAACAATCCGCATTTTCGCCAAATTCGCAAAGTTTGTTCGAAAACTAACTGTATGTTATTGAGATTGATACCACTGAAATCAATATCATAATCTTTCAAATTCCCTCGCTAATTTATCTGAAACTCCTCAGAGATCAATATCAAAATTCTGTTTCCTAAAGTGTTCCCGTATTCTTTAACCAATATATTGCAATGGTACAAAGTATTACGTTTAGGAGTGGGGACTCCATAGAGATCAATATAAGAATCTCTTCAACACCCTAATTTATCTACAACTTTATTACCTAAATTCTCCTCGTATCTCTTCAGTCATTCATAGTATTATTGTCGAATGACACGACATTCAATTGTGAGATGCCCCTGCATTCATGGTCTAGTATAGATGTTGTAGACACATTGTTAGGAGACATACCTAATAGCAGCTTAACTATCGGTGTAAATTTGAAACTTCTCTAAAAGATATTCGATTAAATCAGAGAGAATTTACAGCCCTTTAATCACTGTTATCGACAAATAATACAATCCTTATTGAGTCTGAATATTATTTTGATTTAATAGACATCAATGAAGATATAGTAAAGCGATCTCTCGAATGTTTTGAAATCAGATAATTTCCAATCGTAGTATTTAAGAGGTAATCGGTGGTTTACCAAATCATGTTTCTGGGTCATCAATATAGAACCCCAGACCCACTTTGTCCCCCAATTTAGAGCCATCCGTGTAACAACGGATTCCTACTCGTATTTGCTCTATTCTATCATTCTATCTGGGATCAGCGTTTCAAAGTTTCCGACATAGTCTATGTCTGGTATGCGATCAGGAACGTCCGATGATTGTGTATAACCTTCCAATGTATCCAGTACATTTATGACGTGTCCTATAACCGCTTTTGCTCAGTACGCCTAAAGTAAAGAGCCGTTCGGGTCTAGGCGCCGCCTCATATCTAAAATAAGTTTCAATGGGTGGAATATCTAGCAACGTTTCCAGAGCCTTGGTTGAAGTAGTACACATGGCACCACTTATACCCAAGCAGCATGAACGCTAAACTCCCTGTAGTTGTTTGATATTGCACTTTTTGTCCAAAGCAGTCCACTAGATTATTGAAGCATAAGCAAGAATTGGTCTAATTACAGTTTTATAAAGCCTAAGGACTAAATCCCCATTTCATGCCTATACATATCGCCCAGCAGCGATGTGCCTTGTTGATTCTCATAACCAACGAACTTCATATGTATATTTCCTTTCTATTGAATTCGTAATCATGGGCCATTCATAGATCTCATGATTACTGGTGGTACAAGGGGTTGAGAAGCTTTGGACCACCTTCTAGAGTCAGAAACATAGGTCAGATGCTACCAGATCATATAGCTGAAATTATCTAGTTTTTCAAGATCAAGGTTTGGCATCGTAATTTCATTCAATATCTCCATAAGTAGAGAGATTTATATCTCTGTCCAACAAAGTCATACGTAGTAACTTGTAATATTTGGAAAGAGTCAGTAGCCTCCCTTATCAAAGAGCTAGTGAATAACGTTTGCCTAATGATAACGCTTAAAATCTTAGAGTTTTTTTCAACATTTTTATAAGGAAGCAAGTTAAGTCTGGATTTAAAAAACGCACTACGAAACTGTAATGCGGTAATGTCTATGAGAGAGATCATCAGCTCTCGCCTTAAGAGAGGAAACTAAAGCTATTAAGTTGTGGTCAATTCAATTCATTGCTTGATCATATAGATCAAAAAGAAATAGAGATATAAACGCAAGAGAAGAAAATTAACCTTATTGGTGGGTTTAAAATTCGGCTAACTTAACGTTAGACATACTTTTTTTTAGAGAAATCTTAAATATGCCAAAACATTTTCGATGACATTTAATAAAGTTAAATCTTAACTAAGACATATGTCATAAATGTTTCAAAATATTCTTGTATGTATGTGTTTATACAAAGGGATATTCTGTCTCGTTTTAGCTGCAGTAGTATATAAAATTTTTATTCAAAAACTACCCTTTAAAGGTCTAAATGTTACTACTTTGAGTATGAGCTAGAGGATTTAAACACTTATTCTCTTAAGGCAGGAGTAAAAGATATTAAGATATAATGCTATTTCATTCTATCCCTTAAAAACTTTATAAAATATTATTTGAGATTGAGCATAAGTTTAACATAATTTAGAGAAAAATGTAAAGAGATGTAATTGTTCAATAAAATTTATAGAAAATAATAAGACGCAATAAATTTCATTAAAAAAGAGGGAATTTTCCGCTTTCCACAGGGGAAATACATTTCATAAATGAAAATTTTTTGCAAAATCAGGTAATTTTATCATATGAGCAATTTTTGTTTCGTATAATTATTTGAAATTTATCACGACAAAATGCTAATTTAATGCTATTAACAGGTAAATTAGTTATTTTACTAAGAATATACTGGAAAAATCTAGCAACATTTTTTAAAACTTCATGTATTACTTTAGCACAAGATGTTGTCTGGTGAAAAAGAGAAAAACCGCTACCTGCTTGCCTCTCTTCTTTAAATTTCTCTAAAGGTTTAGAAAGGACAGAAATATGTATGTTTATGCCCTGCCCAAGGGTTCAGTTATATTTAGATCTTTAAAGTGATAACATCTAGTTGTGTTCTGTTTTGTTTTAAAATTAAAGTTTGAAATTTGTAATTCTGTAATTTCTTAAATGTTCAATACTACGCGTGTTCATTTTGAAGATATAGTGCAATTGTATTTATACGAATATCATAAAGTATGAAAGAGAGAGAGAGAAAGATGAAAAGATATATAATTTTGTAAAAAAGAAAATGGTGGCTTATTTAGCTAATTGTGTATTTGTTTCATAATTTTCAGGTTATTGATGATATTTCCGGTTCGGTTACATTTAGTGTACCGGAAAAAAATGTCACAACTATTCAATGTGAGAAACCCGAAGAGGAGGAGAGCGATGATGAATTGGAAATACATGGTAAAAGAAGGTAAGTTATAGGTTGATAGAAAAGTGAATATCAATAAAATGGCTAAGATCCAAATTGCAGCAAAAAGTTGATACATTTCTTATTGTTATAGAAAGATCTGAGCTTTCCCTTGCACAATACGGACATTGTTTAGAACATAGACGAGTTTTAGTGTTCAAAATGTTTCGATATTAACAATATTTTGACATAGTTTTTTATATATACGAAGTAAAAAGAAATGCAACTCCTTACTTGTATTCCTAACAAATCGTTAAGGTTTGAATTAGTTTTTAATTGAATTGAAAAGTCATTATTATTACTGCAATTAAATGTTAATGTAATTATTTTATAGTTATTGCGAATTAGAAATCACAAGTATTAAATATAGCAACTATTCAATGAAGTTTGAAATGTGAACATTTTTTTATTAAGAGAATTCCCCACAAAATATTACAAATTCAATTAAGTGCAAAATATGTCTTCAATTTTATCTCGGGCATATGAATGAAAAGATCAAATTACACACATTCGCCAGCAACAAGATGATGATGACAGTTGTACGAAAATTTACTTTGTGAGTGTACAAAGAAAATAATTTATTAAACTTAAAGTCAATTATACCCTACACACTTTAAATTTGTAATTTCAAACAGTTATTTCTTAGTAACCTTACGCTTTACTCTTGGCATTACTCTGGTTCTGTGTTATAACTTCATCTTAGTTGATAGAAAGTAGGGTTCTATAGTTGAAACGAAAAGTCGACTTTTCGACTTTTTGCATTTAGTTAAAAGTCGACTTTTCGACCTTTCGACTTTTTCCATCTTATGAAATGTCGATTTTTCGACTTTTCGACCTTTTTCATTTATTTAAAAGTCGACTTTTAGACTTTTCGACTTTTAGTATTTTATAAATGGTCGACTTTTTCCGACTTTTCGACTTTTTTCGACTTTTTCCGACTTTTCGACTTTTTGATTTTTTACGACTTTTTGACTATTTTCTATTTATTTCGACTTTTTCGACTATTTTTTTACTTTTTTTCGAGTTTTTCCGACTATTTTAGAGTTTTTGGCCTCTTTTCCACTTTTTTAAAATTTTCGACTTTTCGACTTTTATCGACTTTTTCCGACTTTTTCCGACTTTTTTCGACTTTTCTCGACCTTTTTCGACTTTTCGACTTTTTTCGACTTTTTCCGACTTTTCGACTTTTTCCGACTTTTCGACTTTTTGATTTTTTTCGACTTTTTCGACTATTTTCGATTTATTTCGACTTTTTCGACTATTTTCGACTACTTTTTTACTTTTTTCGAGTTTTTCCGACTATTTTAGAGTTTTTGACTTCTTTTCCACTTTTTTAAAATTTTCGACTCTTTTCGACTTTTTTCGACTTTTCGACTTTTTTCGACTTATCGACTTTTTTCGACTTTTCAACTTTTTTCGACTTTCCGATTTTTTGACTTTTCGACTTTTTTCGACTTTTATTTACAAAGTCGACTTTTCGACTTTTTTCATAGACGATAGTCGAGTTATCGACTTTTTTGGAACAAAATAGTCGACTTCGACTTTTCGACTTTTTTCGACAAAAAGTCGATTGTTCGATTATTCGAAAGTCGATTTATAGAACCCTAATAGAAAGTCAACAAGATCATTCGAGTATTCGAGACTTTTCTACCGACACCGACTTTGATTCAATTTCGCAAAGTTTAATAGAGAGATTGAAAAATTTGTTACTTTTTAAAGAGAGACATGCTGAATGTATTCTAGCAGCTTCCATCTATTTTATGTAAAAAGCTAGGAACTATAGGGGTTGTCGTTGTGATCTTGTGTAAAAGAATCCTCTCAGAAAAAAATGAAAAAATACTGTTCTAAAATCTCATAATTACTGATGGTCCTTATTTGATTTTTTAATTTCAGGAATAGTAATATCTGGACCATCTGGATTTAGTGTGTATTAAAACTTTTCATAACCAACGAATGCGCAATCACGATCAGTTGTAAGATCTTAAGATCACTGATGGTCCAAGAGATTTTCAAAATCTTTTACTTAAACTTTTATTTGTTGTATTTTGGATAACAACACAGAGGTCTTCAGTAATTTAAGCTCTCATAGCTACATTCAGACATCATCTAAATAATTCTTTTATTGAGGAAGAATTTGTACTTGAACTACTATATAAAAGTTCAAGCACCTATGACACTTTCGCTAATGTTCGCTTTAGTTCGCATTGAACATCCATCCTCCCTGATCTTATATGTTTGTCCTGGATTTAATCATTCTCAGTCTGAATTGATCTCGTTTTATTGAGGAAGAATTTGTCAATTTTAACTTGAACTACTATATCAAAGTTCAAGCATTGATAACACTTTCGCTATAGTTCGCATTAAACTTCCACCATCCCTGATCTTCATTAGATCGCTTTAGATTAGTGCATATCAAGTGTCTGTGAGTTAATGATATATGACACCGATTTAATCGTGTACATATATCTGCCCTGGTTTTAAACATTCTCAATCTGGATTGATCTCGTTTTATTGAGGAAGAATTTGTCAGTTTCAATTTGAACTACTTTATCAAAGTTCAAACTAGATGACACTTTCCCTAATGCTCGCTATAGTTCGCATTGAACTTCCACCGTCCCTGATCTTGATGAGATCGCTTTAGATTAAAGCATATCAAGCATCTGTGAGTTGTTAATATATGACACGGATTTAGTCGTGTTCATAAAGCTGCCCTGGTTCTAATCATTCTCAGTCAGAATTGATCTGTCTGTCAAGCAGAAAATCACTGGCTATGTTTTTGGTATTTTGTTCCAGGAACTTGACGCATTGATCCACCATTGACTCCATCTTTGCCGCTTCTTTAGAAGTGTGTATATCAGTAGTCTATTTGATGGTGATCTTAACATTTCCAGACACTGGTTTAATCGTGTTCACAAGCTTGTTATAGTTTGGATCAGCCTCTGGCCGTGTTGACCAGATTTCTATAGCAGTAGTATTCTGTATTTCCTCAGAATTGATTTGATTGCCATAATGGTAATATTCAGTTTTTCCTATACTTTCGTCTGTCAAGGAGGAAATCACTGGCTATGTTTTTTGGTATTTTGTTCAAGGACCTTGACGCATTGATCCACTATTGACCACTACTGCTTCCTTAGCAGAATGCACATCATTAGCCCATGGGATGGTGATCTTAACAGTTGCAGACACTGGTTTAATCGTGTTCACAAGCTTGTTTTAATTTTGATCAGCCTCCGGCCGTGTTGACCAGACTTCTATAGCAGTCGTATTCTGTATTTCTTCAGAATTGATCTGATTGCCATAAAGGTAATATTTAGTTTTTCCTCATACTTCCGTATGTCAAGGAGGATGCATTGATCCACCATTGACCCAATATTTGCCGCTTCCTTAGAAGAATGTACATCAGTAGTCTATTTGATGGTGTTCTTAAGAATTCCAGACACTGGTTTAGTCATGTTCACATGTTTGCTCTGGTTTTGATCAGTTTCTCACCGTGTTGACCTGACTTCTTTAGCAATAGTATTCTGTATTTCGTCATACTTCAACATATGATATTGTGCTTCAAGTACGCTGGATATCGTATGTTTAGCGACAGAATATTTATACCGAAAAGAGATCTTGTATCTCGCGAGATTAGCTGCTTTTCTGCACTTCTTTCGCACTAGGGATAGTGGCCTCCGAAATCCATCCATATCGTTAGATGACTCTCTTCATCGGCCTCGTGTACGAGCATTTCTTTCTTACTAATGTCATGGCCGTCTGGTTGGTCGAGGTCCAAGTATTACGCATTTGTGTTTGACTTCCCACCCTTTCTTAAACATTCATCATAGCGCGTTTAAGCTGTTCATAAATTAAGAGTTGAATTTAATAATTTTTTTGTATAACAATTGCGGTTTTAAATCAAATAAAATAATTTCCTCACAGATTTTATTCTCCGACTTATAACAGACTACCACAGAACACACCCCCACCATTCATAAAATTGTATTTTGAGTATTTATGTCAGATTGTACAAGAAAATTATAATGTGAAGAGAGTGCCGTTCAAGCGTTTCATATACATACATTTAATTCGTTCATAATATTGCCGATGATGACGATGATGATGATGTTTTAAATATGTTGATAAATGATGTATAGTATTCCTACTTAAATGAAATAATTTACGCCTGTCTGCTACTTAAGTTTTAGTTATTTGTCTGTTTAGTAGTACTAAGTAGCAGCGATTTACTTATTTAGTTAACTTATGCTCAGTTTATCTACTACTGAGTGTTGTATTAAGAGAGTAAGTTTAATGATTTCAAGAAAATCAAATCAAATTATTCAGTATTATAGTGGATTTGAGACAGATAAGAAGCGTTATAAAAAAAATGTGACTCTACAAAAATGTAGTAGTTTTTTTCGTTTGAATTATTTTATTCTGCTAAAAAAAACAAGATCAGTTTAGTGTTTGAAAAGTTATTAATTACGTGAGACGCGAGTTATAATTATAATTTTAGTAAAAAAAATACCGGAAGAAAGTGGATAAAACGAAAATTTGCTATTTATATAGAAAAAATTGAAACGATTTGCGAAACAGAGTCATTCGTATTTATTAAATAATAAAGATTTTTCTAAAGAAAATCAAAAAAGTGTGCTGTTCAATCATTAAAAAGTTATATAAAAGTTGTATTATAAATTTATTCAAAAAAGTTAATAAACTTAAGTGAACTTCGCAAAAAAAAACACGTTAAATAAAATTATTATAAAAACTATCATCAGGTTCATAATCAAGGTAATAATACACTGCAAAAAAAAAAAACTTTACAAACAAAAAAAAAAAAACATGTTTTAAATAGGCTTAAAGATTAGCGTAATGTGGCGCCCTCTGTGTTGGAATTTATCTTTGTTATTTATATAGTAAGAGGTTAAGTCTTTGTCTATTGTTATTGCTATTCAGTTATCACTTATCTTAATCAAAAGTAGGTCAGGTTCTAGTAATGATTCCTTGGCATACACAACTTTTCACCAG